CCCCCCCCCATATCATAGTATCGTAGACACCACTACGCATTACTGACACTTTAGATAGATGTAACATTCATACGATAATGATAAACAGACTGGTTTTTTATGTTTGGTTTTATAGCTATATATGACATGTAAACACTGCATTAAATTTCATCCAAAACTATACTCCTGAAGTGTCATGCATGGTTTACCAATCCAGCATTTTGTGCTTTCCTGAAGTTAGAACTATTGCAGGATCGGACAGCGAAGGCGCTGGAGTAGTGCGTCATGCAGCCACACAGGTAGAGGTTCTCAATTGTCAGAAGAACGTGCAGCCGAGGGAGCTCCTTCAGCAGGATTCAAACATGCTTGTGGCTTTTTTAAAACTCTTTCTGCCGCTCGGCACGAAGACAGTTCCTTTGCCAGATGTGGCGGTGATGTTCTCAGGAGAGGGAGGAAAAAGAATTTAGAAAACCGGGAGTTGTCTGCAAATTAAAGTAATTCCTCCGTCTCTCCTGTGAGATATCACAGGAAGGAATATTGGGTGTTTTCCAGCTAGTCTGTGGACGTCTGTGTGTTAAGAAGTTGGATGAGAGTTTCATCTTCTGTTTTTTGGTGTAAAGATTCATTCACATCACTTTCTTTGCACCAGCTCTCCCCCCCCCCCGGTCATATCAACAAGGTTTCTGTCTTTACCAGCATTTTCTTTGTCATGGTCTGTTGCCTTATTATAATTCATGTTATTACTCTTTATTGTATTGCTGCACTTCCTCTTTACCCTGCTATTGGACTCACCCCAAATAAATCGACTTTTAGATTACTGATTGCATTTTACTGGAGAATAACGTAAAAATGCAAGTGGTGGCTCACAAGTATCGGCAGCATGGTCTTTAAACTGTCAACACTCCTTTTGTCTTTTTCAAGTGCTGCACTGAAGAGCTGATCTGTTTATGTGGGCAGTTTCTCTGCCTTGTATAATACAAACACCAAGCAGCATGCCCCCCCCCCAATACAGTGAAATTGTCAAAAATCCAATTGGTTTTTTGTTTTAAAATACAATTTTTCTGTACCATAGTGATTCCCTGATTGGACAGCTGTATATATTGCTTCTTAACTATTGGTGATGACCTCGCTACTTCACAATTTAGACATTTATTTGCCGGCTCTGCCAAGATCTGTACAGTTGATATGCTAGTGGGTTGCCTGTAATTCATGCTTGGGAAATTCTGTAACATAGTTTCTATTAATAAATGTATGTAAAGGATAGACCCCCCCCCCCCCAACCACCCTGTCTGCACACTACTGAACCTGTCCATTGGTTGAGGGGAGAGGAAGTGGATTGATATGATGTGCAAACTCTTGATTCCTCGTCACTATATGGAGTGGAGAATGGGGCACTTTTGTTTTCTTTTGCCACCCAGTCGTCCCTCCTCCACATGGGGAGGGGCCTGCATCGCTGTCTTAACGTTTGGGGAGTGGGGATTGGTTTGTTATTGTGGGAAGTTGGTGGGCTGGGTCTTCCTTTTTCCTGTGTCCCACTTCCTGCTTTTGTCTGTCCACAAGTACAACAAAAAAAAGTACATATGTATAAATTTTTAAAGGAGCTGTGCTAACATTTAAATGCGTTTCTTGAGTGTATATGATTTAAAAAAATGTTGACATTTTGATTTTAATGACAAAATACTCTAGACAGAAAAAATAAATTATACATAACCTGTTGCCGTGTGTCTGTTTACTGAAGAAAAAGATCACACACGTGATGTATTTCAAGTAGCACAACTGCTTGTTATTTTATTGCAACAAAAATTGCACCAAGGCTAGAGAGAGAGAGAAACAAATAGGAAAAACAGAAAACGTATTTACAAAGGAAAGCAAAGTGTGTCTACAAAATTGGTGAGGAGGCTTAGACATTAAAGATGGGTAGTGGTATGGTGAAGGAGCGGAATAAAAAAAATAAAGAGAGCCAACACTGACAGTACCATGTTGAAGTCAAGGCAGCTTGCAGTTGACTTGTGCAGTCAGATCGGGCACATAGGGGTGAGGCGACTACAGCACGGATACTGAGGATGTCCAACAGTTACTGCAGAGCATGAAGGAACGTATGATGGTACAGTGGAATTTCATGGGCTCTTTTACTCTACAATGGTCAACTTCTCACTTATTCATCATCTTGTAAGACAGCAAGTGACAGATCCATAAACATTTCAGTCCAGTGTTTCCCCCAGGATATATATTTCGTTTTTTTCTGCTGGGGTGGAAAGGCCTCTGAAACAGCATTTGGGCCCCTCGTGATATTAGCCCTCCAACACTAATTCTCTCAAGGCAAAAAGAGTCTCTTCAGTGGCCAGAAGAAACACTGTTTCAGTCTGTGATCCCTCTTTGCAGATCAAACAGCATGCTGCTGTAAGGCTGAGCTGCTACTGGTGGCTTTTGTGACTGGCATGTATAGAAAGATGGATCAGTTTCATAAAAATAAGACAAAAAGGTCCAGTCTAAAGGACAACATAAAACAGTCGGATCCACTAAGTAGCAGATCGTGCACCCTGGTCCCTCTCCAGTACAGACTGGAGACAATAGGTTTTTGGTATGGCAATCACACATCCAATACACAACACAACGATCCACAGTTCTGCACATGTGACGTGGCAAATGTAAAACAGCTCTGCCACTAGTGTTTAAGGCACTATGTGTTACCAAAGGTGAAGGCCACTAGCTTGTTCCGCCTCATTTGCTTGCTCCCATTATTATTTTATGGCACATGGTTGCAAATACTGCAAAAAAAAAAAAAAAGCATTCATACGGAACAATCACTGGCACGTTTTCATCACTCCGCACACAACCAATCACTGATGAAATGGCACAAAGCAATGCAACATGTTGGGTTGTGTTGGACAGAGGCATCGGGTTATAACACTGCGATTCCAGAAGCCCCCTAATTCTTACAGGTGACAATGGGAACTATGACATCAGTCGTTTAAAGTCTTAGAAAGGCACCCGAGAACAAGGTGAGGTCAATTGTTTTGTTTTTGCTCATTGTCGCATCACTAACAGTAATGGAAACAAATACCACAGGCCTCTTTTCTACTGGTGTCATCGATAAAGGGGAAGAAACAACTAGAATACATAAGACATTTCAAAAATGATTGGCTGAAAAGTCATGTCGGTAAAGAATTGGCCCCTCGCCTCCCATAAAGGCCAAAAGACACCGTTCGTGGTTAAGGCTTTTCAATATTGCACTCTGTCTGACGGTGCCGACAGAGAGGTTCCATCCACAATAACCACAGGCTTAAGAGTTTCAGAGCCAACTGTTAGTGTGAAACCTACACTCTGCTGCTGCTCTCCTGCAGGCTTTACCCTCAGATCTGCAACACGAGCTCGGCATCTGCCGCAGTTCATGCTCTCAGAAAGAAAAGGGTCGTCTTAGATACAGTTCATGTCAGTTTTTCATCTTGGTAGTTGAAGATTTTATGGCGCTACCTCTGAACAATGTCACTAATCTCTTTGACGGAGGACAGCAGCTTGCTGAAGTCCTGCTGGGCGTTGGCGCCCCCTGTGGCGGTTGGGCAGATCTGCAGCTCGCGCAGGCTGTTCTCCAGCTTGTTGATGGCCTCGCGGAAGGCGAACTTGTTCCTCATCTGCTGTATGGAGTCGACGTAGCTCACGCAGTACTTGGACAGGTTCTTGCCGGCCTCCAGCACGGCGCTGTGGCTGCCCGTCTGCTCCGAGTTGCGGCAAATGGCAGCGCGGAGCAGCTCGGTGCCTTCCAGTACCATCTTGCGCGTCACGGCCGAGTTCGGGGTGCGCTCGGCGGCCTGGCGGGGAGCCGTCTTGCGGAGGGAGCGTCGGGTGTTCACCAAGGGGATGAAAGCAGTGGGCGAGCTCAGGTCGCCCGGGGAGGTGAGGGAGGAAGAGAAGCCTCCGAGGCTCTGGCTGGAGAGGGAGGTGGTCACTGAAGGGGAGGAGGTGGAGGTCTTTAACGGTTGAGGTTTGGAGGTGGAGCCCAGGGGCAGCTTCCTGGAGCCCTCACTGAGGGGTGAGCGGGCTTGGTCACTGGCAGTGGTTGTGTGGTGGGGCTCTGAGAGACAGGGGAGGCCCTTAGCTTTGATCTCTGAGGTGGTGAATGAGGGAGAGGAGAGTTCTTGCGTGGGGCTGCGGGAAATCTTGCCCGTTTTGGCATTGGTGGGTGGTGGAGGAGGGGCTGGCTTGGGTTTCTGTAACTTTCCTCTTTCCCTGACAGATGACGAGTCCACACCGTGCCTGTGTCTGCGGGCCCTGCACTCATCTGCAGCGGCCCCTAGAGCAGGGAACACATTGGGCTTGAGAAGCTCGGCGTGGAGAGCGCTGGTCTTGGAGTTTTCCAGTCCCGGCAACCCTGGTCTCCTGACCACCTTAGGTGTTAATGCCTGGGTACTGGAACCAGGACTAAGATCGGTGTCTCTGCCTAGAAAGGCAGAGGACACGTCTGATAAGGTGTTCAGATGTGGCGGGGGAGTCAGGGTGCCCTTTCGAGGGGCTTGCTCGCCGGTTCTCTTGCGTGGCAGAGCTGGCTTGCCCCCAAAGGTGCCCGAGTCAAAGTGCCGCTGGCCGAGGTCTCGCGGCAGAGTGACCG